TTTTTTTTTTAAGGGGGGTCTGAGGGTCCGAGAGGTGTTACCTGCACAACTTTTAAGGGGGGTCTGAGGGGTCTGAGGGGTCCGAGAGGTATTACCTCGTCCTCATCATCAGAAGATTCAGAACCTCCATCCTGTTCCCCGTCATCACCATCACCATCATCATCACCATCATCACCATCACCATCATCATCACCATCACGATCATCATCACCATCACGGTCATCATCACCATCGGCATCATCATCACCATCATCATCATCAGAGGATGACGACGATGAAGCTGAACACGGAGGGGTGTTGTCATCGTCAATGACTTTCCCCTTCTTTTTCTTCGCTGCTGCTGCTTTTTTCTTTGCAGCAGAACTCTTTTTCTTTGCAGATGCGGACACCTTCTTCGCAGCTTTCTCTGCTGCTTTTCTTTCTGACTTCTCCTTGTTGCTCGGTCGTTCTCTCCCCCGTTTCGGAGCAGGCGCAATGTCTACCTCCGCGGTACGCTTCCCGCCACCATCCCCCTCGCCAGGACGTGCTCGCCGATGCTGCCTCCTGCTTCCACCTTCTTTGACGAGGACGACCAGGAGGAGGAGACGAAACGGAGGGATGGGAACGATACAGAGAAGATTAGCACGACCTCTGCGCAAGGATGATACGCACAAATGGAGAAAAAAAAAAGCTCGATAGATTCATTAGTACATTACCTGGGTGGGAGAGGAGGAGGTCGTGAACGACAAGGGCGACGAGGAAGGGGAGGAGGACGACCTGGAGGAGGAGACGAAACGGAGGGATGGGAACGATACAGAGAAGATTAGCACGACCTCTGCGCAAGGATGATACACATAAATCGAGAAAAGGTTAAAAAAAAACAAAAAACTCGACAGATTCGACACCTGTGGGAGAGGAGGAGGAGGAGGAGGAGGAGGAGGAGGAGGAGAAGGAGGAGGAGGAGGAGGACGACGACGAGAACGGAGGACGAGGAGGAGAGATGGAGGACGAGGAAGGGGAGGAGGAGTAGGACGAGCGGGAGGAGAGGAGGAGGAGGAGGAGGAGGCAGTGAGGATGATGAAGGGGAGGTCGAGGCCGGTGATACGCACCGGGCGATGGCGGCAGCTCCTCCCTCACAGGGCAGCACGGCAACACGGGGCGGCACTTGAGAATGGTGGCAACTCCTCCTTGAAATGGCAACGGCACTCCTCGTAGGAATGGCCGTGACCGACCACACACCTACCCAAGAGGCCCAGCCAACCCCACACAGAGTAGAAAGAACTGGAAACAGGTTTCGAAAATTCGAAACCTCGCGGTCCGGCCTTGAGCGCGGTCCGAAAAAAAAATTTTTTGGCCTTCGCAACAATTTTGGCGGGGGGCCT